TCCTAGGACTGTGGCTGCATCTGAAAGCGCATACTTCCCTACTTTATAGTAGGTGAAAAACAGTATGTGACAAAAGAAGTATGTATGAATTCACCGTACTCATAAAAGAGTAGGCAAAAAGTGCCTGGATATACTTCCGGTGAGATTCTGAAGTGTGCATACGATAGACACTTTACTATCCCATGAGGCCACGGGAGAGGATTTATGAATGACAGTGAAGCAACATATTTTTGAAAACGTATTACGTTTTTAATACGTTTCTAAATAAGACCTTCTGGGGTGTGAGAGTGTGCAGTTTACATAGTAGCAAAGCGTTAAAAGTATAGTCAAGTTATGTTTACCACAGGCTTAATGACACAAGTACACCCCCAAAATATCCAGTGAGAAATCTATTTGAAATGACTCTGTGATTTCTACTGTAAATGTCAGGCTGTACCCTTACTTCTTATATGACAATAATTACGATGACAAGGGACTTTTCAAGGTATGCAAAAGCAATTCTTTTCACCTGAATATGGTTTCCCACGAGAACAGAGGAGTCTGTGGCTTGTCAGGTTTCAGAAATAATACAGACACACATATCTTTAAATGAATCATGTTTCCTTTTTCTTGTGGGACTAGAGATGTACCACATTGTTGAAAATAAAGCAAGATAACGAAAAAACAAAAGACCAGTTTTTGCCATCTGCAGAGACAGAAGCACTAAATCTGCAGATGTGAGCGGTAACAGCAATCTCCAGTCCACACAGACTATCAATACAAATCTAAAACAAACATTAAACAGAGGCTAAAACACCCTACAGTCCTTCATATTCTGTTCATTCAACATAGAGCAGGTAAAGAAAAAAAAAGCACCCATGAAGCCAATCTTGGTGTCTTTAATCAGTTCATTCAACAGCATACATTTATTTCAATTCTAGTATTTAAAAGCCTTCAATGTACAGTCATAAATACCGTCTAATATGACTAAACTTATTCTGTTCATGTCATTATGTTGTATCATATTATCAGAAATAATCAAATATAAAACTGTATGGAACGGGTCTGCCTACATCATGTATCAATCATGTACATTATGATCTTCCTATAAAGCCACAATTATAGGATTACACACATGCTACCTATTGTTAAACTGCAGTGTTCTAACAATATTCATCAAGCGTTATGGTCCTTCACTCCTCCTTATAAAAGCTTATCACACGGGGTGTCTCTTCATACTGAATGGCTTCCTCTTTTTTTTTTTTTTACATGAAATTCAGTCTAATTTCGTTTCAAATGAAAGGTAAAAGCAACATCTGCACACACCAGGGCCATACTCAAGACATTCAACCACAAAATGATGCCCATGCACGTCTACAGGAAGTGATGAACTTTCACTTTAGCCAGGACATTGTAGAGCCCTTGTCTCTATTTCTTCAACATATCATCTAATTTCTAAAAGATAAAAAAGGGTTTAGATCAAACTACATGCATGGAAGTAGTATATTTTTAATACAGAGTGTAATATACAGTATAAAGAATGTATAATAAATACAATATTATAACAAAGCTTTTATCTTCTGCTTTTGGCTTGGTTTGTGGTCTGAACCTCACAGTAGACAGCATTATTTCAAGGGTCCTATGCAGAGTGTAAAGACAACAGCTATCATGCCTATGACTGGACACATGCACATAACAAATCCATGCACCGAAAGAATGCACAAACACAAACATTGTGCAGTAAGTGTAATTTTTTATGCACAAATAAATGTATTGTTGATAGTATTCAGTAGATTTGTCTAAATATGTTCAGAATTGTACTTTTTAGCCAAGAATTTTCATTTCGATTGATCACTACTGCACTACATCGAAAACCCTTATTCATAAGCATGTAATTTAGCCTAGAGACATGAAATGTAAGTAAGTGTGATATTGTTGTAGAGATATCCCAGATAGTATACATATCCTGGCCTCATCTGGGCCAACTATGGCACATATGGCTCAGTTCTGGCAGCGGCAAAGGTCAAATGGGCCGTATCTGGCCCGTACACATCAAGCCGGTTTTAGTGTGAGTTGTGGCTTGCTGTGTGTGGCCCATGTGACCTTTGCCTCTGCCAGAACTGAGCCATATATGCCATTGTTGGCCCAGATGAGGCCCAGCTATGTATGCTATTGCCACAACTGGGCCAGATGTCATTTGCTATCTGGGATGACTGCAGTCACCAGCGACTCTTTATGATGTTCGGGATTTTTTTCCCCCTAAGGGTTATAACCAAAGTCCTTTTAGGCAAGTCATGCCACTCGGCCGCCATCTTGGCAACGCCTCCGGGCAGCTATTTCGCACTAACAAGACCAGGCTCCTATCTAAATGAATGGGCAGAGAGTCAGAACTGCAGTTTCACTGGTCACCGGGACATAACAACTGCATGTATAGAAACAGCAGTAAAATATGATAAAAATCGCTGAAAAAGTTTGATGACTTTGCCCCAAAATAAGGTTTAAAACGCCTTTTCCCCCACAGGTTATACTTTTACTACGCATGCGCAAGGGTTCTCTCCCTCTGTCGTGCGCGCGCTACACAGTTTGAAGCACAGTATGTGCGAGCTCGCTCTAAATTCCGGGAGATTTGAACTAATTTGCGGCATCAGGGAGCCGCTATCAATCTGCGGGAGACTTCTGATGTCTGATATTTACACAACTCACACATACACTGCATATCAAATCTGCCGCCTTTTCAAACAGTAACGTATTTTGCGCTGCCGCAAACCTCAACTGTGCGCATGCGTCAGTGGAACCAGACGATAGGCTTAAATGTTTCCCGGCTTGACTGTTAAAAGCAGACGATTGGCTTTCCAGCGGGAGGGGCGGGACATGTGCAGACAACCGCCATCTTTGGTGTTACGGGTTTTCCCTATATAGTTGTATTAAGGATTGATGAAGTGGCATGTCTCTATATAAATAGTCTCTGTTATAACATAGCAGAGTGGAAAAAGGAAGAGAAAACGGATGTGTGGACCCTCACTTCTTATTCCAGCCAGAGGCATAGAGAGAGAGAGTTGCGACACTCCCATAGACCGCCATAGGAACTTTGGAATGCGGAAGTAACGCGTGTCATGGAGCGGCCGATAGTTCCAAACACTGATAGTTCCAGCATTGAACCCCATTCATTTTCAGTGCTTCCGAAGTACGCTCGCTTGTAAATTAATGAAATTACTGTTTTTTTTTTTACTTTTACACACATTAGCCGACCTCTCGTGAATCTAGTCTGTAGTTATATTTTATGTAGCCAGTTTTAGTAAATGTTTATTGGAAGATAATAGGTTAATTGCAGCGATAGCTTATGTGACCAACACTTCACTAATGTTAGCTAACTTACGGTAACCTGATGTATATAATATATAATATTTTTAATAATATTTTATGTATATATATATATATATATATATATATATAGCCTATATATAATATTATACACACACACACACACACACACACACACAATTCATTTATTTAAATGGGTTAGGGTTATGCATATATGTGCTTATATGTATTTAGGAACATAGTTAATTCACTCATTAACTATCTCTCCGGTTTAATTTTATGAAGAATATTTTTCGGTTGAATATTTACCGAACATTGCTGTATATAGTCGTTGCTTTCTACGTTATGGGAGCAGTCTATTTCCCTCCTAAATCGTTCATTTGTACATGCACAGCGTAATTATTTATATTTTATGTTGGTTGGAGTTCTGAACGGACTGCAGACCTCTTTGCGTGATCACGAAGGTAGGCTAATGGCTGAATCGGAATTTATAAGCAAGATCACGAGAATCAATAGCCTAATACAGCCCAGTTGTGCTAAAATAAATATCATGAGACGTCCATCATCAGATGAATGACATGGAAAAGTTAAGTTAGAGCCGTTAAGCCAGTGCTACTACCCATGCGAACATGAACACTAAGCTTTTCCCTCCAAAAATATAGCCTAAAACTTATCTAAGTTGTCACCCTGCCTCTCCAAATGCAAAACTGACATTAACAAAATGCAATAACAGCTTAAAAAGTACTTGGGTGTGTGTTTTATTTTATATCTACCGTTTAATAATGCAATCGCTGCTGTCTGTCCATAGAAGAACATGACAGCCCGCGTATGTTTTGGAACTATTGGGGCTTACATGAACCACGTGACAGCCGTCGCGGCGACATCATTGTGTGTCGCAACTCTTTCTCTCTATGGCTCTGATTCCAGCTACACATTGCTGATTTGTGAGGCAGTCACGTGACCATTAGCTATCCATTACATCTGAACAACATCTCACTGTGACTCCATCAGCCTGTCATGCATGTGCTCTCTGTTGCTTAGCACAGAGAAGGTAGTGTGTTCATTGTGTGTGTGTGTGTGTGTGTGTGTGTGTGTGTGTGTGTGTGTGTGTGTGGTAGAGAGAGATGGGGGAGATAATTAAAGACAGGTAAGAGCGATGGAAAGTGTGTGTATATGTGATGATATAAATATGTACGTGAGCCAAAAAAGTGAAAAGTAGTTATATATACAGTAAGTGAAAGCAGTTTTAACATTACTAAATTGCATAGTAATAGAGGAGACCTTCAAATTTAAAATGCAGTTAGTGAAGTGACTTATAATTGTTGTTGGCTTTAATAATTGTTCAGCTAATTTACATCCTGACTTTAGTCTGATTTACTGGCAGTTCATGGCCATGGTTTGAAGACGATTGCAACATACTTGACCTAGTTGGATATTTGTTATATAAAACGTAGGAAGTGGGAAATGAGGTTTACTCCATATTTGAAGGGTTTTTTTGTTTATTGTGGTGTTTACAGCTCATGGCTACAGGTTATGTGAATCAAATTGGAGGTGAATAACATTATTTCATCATAATCCCAAACAAACTAAGGAGAAAACTTGAATGACAGTGACGGAGAGTGTGATCCTTCTATTCTTTGCTGAAATTCTCTGCTAGAAACATGGTTATTTATCAATAAAAGTTACATGATAAAGCACTTAAATCTTTTTTTACAGAAGTGTAGTATAGAAGCACAGTATTGCCAAAGTAATACTTTAGATTACTCGGGTTACATCTTCAGCCTCTTTTAGTAGCACTGCATCATCATGGCCTAATTTATCCTGCTCAAAATCTCATTTCAAAATGAATAATATGCAGGCAGACCCAGGTGTGCCCTTGGGAGCCCTAGAAATAGACAGATCTATACACAATGCTGCAGAAAGTCCTAGATCAGTAGGAATTGGGTTACTGTATTGCTCTAACCTTGCAGCACTCTATTGTATAGTGATGCTAATACTGCTAAGAGAACTTGGCCTATTTCCATTAAATTAATGCACACTAAGCATGAGCTTTTGTACAGTTATTGGTCAGAATTATGGTCATATGGAGATTCATTTTCTGTTTTCTATCATTTTGGAAGTAATAACAGTTTTGCACTAAAATCCAGGTGGGCTCTTGCCCCAATCCAGACAATGAGACATTTAATCAGCTAATGTGAGGAGCCAAATCTAACTCCTCCTTTACAAAGAGCAGCCAAAGTCATACGTAAGCCATGGCATTATGCTCAAATGAGGGTGCTCCGCTGGAATAAACAAAGAACAGAATACAATCTCCTTTAAATTTACCCATGGCAGATTAAAATGGATCCTGCTGTGGGGGTTTTACTGGAAGGCTGCCCTGACCACCCTGTCGCTCAGGGGCTGGGTGGGTCTGAAGTTGTCCCCCAGCATCCCGTCATTGCCTTCTTGAATCTCTGCTCCTTTAATATGGGACCTAAGACGACGAAACTCCTCAATCTGTGGCAGAAAGCGAGAAAAAGCAATAGTTGAAAAGGTGTGTGTGTGTGTGTGTGTGTGTGTGTGTGTGTGTGTGTGTGTTTGACCTACATTATGAGGACCCACAGTGTGTATTCAGGTTTCATGCCATGTCCTCTACATCATTAGGACACACTGATGTCCTCATAATTCAAATTGCTAAATAAACATACGAAATAATACTGTATTAAAATGTAGAACCTTTTTTGTTTTGAGGTAGGGTTGATTGGGGATAGAAAATAGCCATAAAGTATAAAAACCATTATGCCTCTGGAATGTCCTCATGATGATAAGTGTACCATTTGCCTTAGTTTCAGCGCTTGTCATCATGATATTGTTCCTTATATTTTAGTTTAGGTTGTTAAGTTTAAGGAATATTCCACATCTGTGTCCACAAGGTTCAATTTCAAATATACACATCTCTAACATCAGCAAGAGTCAGACTGTGCTTCTTGCAATTCAATTTAAATGGATAATGCTTGGATGGTTCCATTCAAAATTACCAGCCAACTGCTGGATAACTCTATTCCTTTTACTGGCCAGTGTCACTTTTTGCTCACATTTGGTGTGAGTGTTGAATTTGGACCCCGGGTGTGAGCTCTTTTAGAAACACGAGGAATATTTTCTTAGCTTTTCTTTCTCTAATGCTATTATTGAAGTTATAACATAAGCAGGGTCATATCAGTACCACGTCCAAGTACAAAATGTGGATAACACATTTGAACTTAATCCAAGAAGGAAACAATTTATAATTTAAAAAAGTTATGTCATCAAACACATACAAGACCCTGACCCATTTTCATATCTTATCTGTGCATCATACTCTCTATATGACTGGCCTTTACTTGAAAGACCCTGCTCTGCCAGTCATTGAGATCAAAGATAATCTAAGTTGCAAACAAAAGGCATAAATCGTTCTTCACCTTATGATGTATATTACTGTGGTAAACCCCAGTTAGTTCAAGTCACGTCAAAGTCGGTTTCTGATTTCCCCTTTTGTCTATTCGTATGAATTAGTGCTCTAACAGACCCTACTCTGAAGTGGGAGCTAAATTAGTTCCTCCAAAAGGAGTTAGAACTAAAATCGTTCTAGTTCCTGCAGTGAGAACACACCAGAATCCGGGTACTTCCGCCAATAGTTCTAGGAACTATGAAAAGGTTCCTCAGGTGCGAAAGCCCCTTATAATAGACTTCTTTCAAAAACATTTTAAATAAATCTTTCTGACACCAAACTTTATATCAGTCATAAAGTTCTAGAAGGTGCAGGCTGATAGGTCCTTTACATGCAATCTGCAAGCAATCAGATCATTACTGCAAGACACAAGCTGATTGGCCTCTGCTGATTCTGCAGCCAATGAGATTGCTTACTCAACATTTAAATAGTCTGGTTCATTGATTTCTGTAAGGTAGTCCTGTGGCATGAGTTCCTCTGAAACCCTCCGCCTCCCCCAGCTCCACCTGCCTAGATCTGCTATGGGATTTATGTTTGTATATTTGTGCAGCATATCTTATAGCTCACAGCAGCGTGTCTATGTATCTATTAGCAGAAGCAAGTCCATACTTACTCTGCAGCAGCAATAATCAACAGCAGCAGCTCTAGTCCACATTGCCATATTCAATAACATGATAAAACTATTCAGAGAGTTGTCATGATTTAAAAATATAAATAGCCACCAAATTAATGCGGTTGGCAGTTTATTAGAGATTTATCATGTATATCTGAGTAATAATAATATTTAATAACAGGTGTAAAGATATTACCTGCATCTGAGAGATGGTAAGGGGGTAACGGTAAAGAATCCAGATGACGTTCTCACTACAGGGTGGTGTGGTTAAAGAGCCCTTATACACCCAGTAATCTCTTAAGAGAGGATCTGAGGAGGTACACAAACCAACGGAGGCAGTCAGATACAAACGGATAACCTTTAACTAGGATATCATGATGTAGTCAGAAAAGATCAAAATCATAACATGCAAAAAATATACAAATATCAGTATGATATATTATGAATAAGAAATAAATCATTTACCAGGCAGTAATGTGTTGGGGTTAAAACATGGAATTATTTTTGTCTTTCCCTGTACACACAAAAAGGCATTTTTAGTCACAAGTGTACGTGTCATATTTTTCGCTTTAGTCTCTAGTAAGGCAGCTCTTCTGATCACCTTGTACTGCAGGTCCTGCAGGACGTCTGTGATGGCCTTCAGCCCAAGATGTTCCTTCCCAACCTGCATAGAACAGAGCACCAGTGTAAACTGAGCATAATATACTGCAAGATGACCAGAGACATACATTTGACTTTGTATCTTTAAAGGCTTTCTATGTTTACACTACTAATACCATGTTTATTTACCCAACGTGATTGGGGATTTTTGTATTTGTCATGACCTCCAATATATGGGGAAGATACCTGCACAAATAAGGCAATGATGAGAATGCCTTTTTTCTTGCCCATGGCCTCCTCCACGCTGTTGAATAATGTAGAGTTCCAGTGGATTAGATGAAGCTGTGAGAGACATTTATTACTAATTGTGAGGGATCTCCAATAAACAGAACTCTAAAATCAACATATGGCTACAAAGTATGCAACATTATGAAGGTGATTATTTTATGCCAGTTCCGTGTCCTGTTATAAGACTGGTTTGACTTGCAATTGCCAACAACTTGAGGAAACGCAACATGGTAACAGGTTGACAAACATGGTGACACATTGAGAACAGGCCCTTATCTTTTTCCTTGTGTACAGAAGAGCAGGAGTTGGAGAGCAGGTGCCAGAGACAGGTGATTTAAATAGATGACTCAATGATAAATCCTTTATTGGAACATGTGGTATTGTTGTTTTTGACATGAACTGAGGTTGTTGTTTAATTTGTTTTGTTGCTTAAAAAGGCTTATTGCTTATGCAATGTGAATACTGTGACCTGTTAATAGGGGTCCCTAAGTAAATATGTGCTTCTGTCTATATACACTCACCTAAAGGATTATTAGGAACACCATACTAATACTGTGTTTGACCCCCTTTCGCCTTCAGAACTGCCTTAATTCTACGTGGCATTGATTCAACAAGGTGCTGAAAGCATTCTTTAGAAATGTTGGCCCATAATGATAGGATAGCTTCTTGCAGTTGATGGAGATTTGTGGGATGCACATCCAGGGCACGAAGCTCCCGTTCCACCACATCCCAAAGATGCTCTATTGGGTTGAGATCTGGTGACTGTGGGGGCCATTTTAGTACAGTGAACTCATTGTCATGTTCAAGAAACCAATTTGAAATGATTCGAGCTTTGTGACATGGTGCATTATCCTGCTGGAAGTAGCCATCAGAGGATGGGTACATGGTGGCCATAAAGGGATGGACATGGTCAGAAACAATGCTCAGGTAGGCCGTGGCATTTAAACGATGCCCAATTGGCACTAAGGGGCCTAAAGTGTGCCAAGAAAACGTCCCCCACACCATTACACCACCACCAGCCTGCACAGTGGTAACAAGGCATGATGGATCCATGTTCTCATTCTGTTTACGCCAAATTCTGACTCTACCATCTGAATTTCTCAACATAAATCGAGACTCAACAGACCAGGCAACATTTTTCCAGTCTTCAACTGTCCAATTTTGGTGAGCTCTTGCAAATTGTAGCCTCTTTTTCCTATTTGTAGTGGAGATGAGTGGTACCCGGTGGGGTCTTCTGCTGTTGTAGCCCATCCGCCTCAAGGTTGTGCGTGTTGTGGCTTCACAAATGCTTTGCTGCATACCTCGGTTGTAACGAGTGGTTATTTCAGTCAAAGTTGCTCTTCTATCAGCTTGAATCAGTCGGCCCATTCTCCTCTGACCTCTAGCATCAACAAGGCATTTTCGCCCACAGGACTGCCGCATACTGGATGTTTTTCCCTTTTCACACCATTCTTTGTAAACCCTAGAAATGGTTGTGCGTGAAAATCCCAGTAACTGAGCAGATTGTGAAATACTCAGACCGGCCCGTCTGGCACCAACAACCATGCCACGCTCAAAATTGCTTAAATCACCTTTCTTTCCCATTCAGACATTCAGTTTGGAGTTCAGGAGATTGTCTTGACCAAGACCACACCCCTAAATGCATTGAAGCAACTGCCATGTGATTAGATAATTGCATTAATGAGAAATTTAACAGGTGTTCCTAATAATCCTTTAGGTGAGTGTATGTGTGCAGTGTGAAACAGACTTTGAGGAACAATAAGAGCAAATGCTCAATATGGACAGAACTGGCGGAGTGACACTGACCTCCATAGGAAAAGCCTTGAAGTTGACAGTGTGTTCAGATCCCCTCTGGTTCTCTTTTCCCCAGTGGAAGCGCACCTCACTCAATTCATACTCATGGTCACTGGGGAGAGGACCCCCAGTCACAACTGAGACAGCATTCACAGGTCACAGGAAAGGGGAGAGAACAGGATGATTTGACAAACAATACAGGTTTCTCACAGACATCAGATTTATGTCTTTTAACCTCTCAGTGACCTTGAAAAGCAAAACATCTTATAACTTTTTTGTGGACTTTGTCAAAGTGCTAGTTCACCCCAAAATGAAAGTTCTGTCATTATTTACTCACCCTCATGTTACAAATAGTGGTTGACCGATAAATCGATAAATCCAAGATGATATGTCGGCCGATATTTGCCTCTTTTTTTTAAACTAGAAGATCTTCTGTATTTAAAATAAATATACATTTGATTGCAAAAATTGCTATGCATGTGTTATTCACCATTTTAAATGAAAGGGATATTAGAGGTCGACCGATTGTTGATTTTACCGATACCGATTAATCAACCGATAGTTTTTAAAAGTATATTGAATGAAACCAACATAACACATAAAATAGTCCTGAACACTATTACAAAAATTTAAAAACAGTACTAACTGAACCATGAAAATGTACTGTACTTTTTAAATGTATGAATATATTATTTATACCTTAGTTACCCTAATTAAACATTAGTTCAAAGTGCATTATCTAATGTTAAGAAATACAACTTTAAAATGTAAAAAAGTATTAGTAAATGTTGATATTAACAATGAACAATACTTTTATTTACTTTAGTTAAAGGAGCTGTATGTAAGATTGTGGCCAAAACTAGTACTGCAATCACTGTCAAATTACTGTAGAGTGGTGTATCCCTTCCCCCTCCTCCCTGACTCGAGGTTGCCAGATCGGCAGCAGGATCCAGCAGGAACGTGACGAGCTGCAGCTGTGGTAACTAGAGCAGACCTGGCAACCCGGATGCCGCAACACTACTGACTTTGTGATTGGTAGATAGGTGGAGGGTGGAGCATCAGACCAAAACACAACATGACAACATCAACATCAGTTGAGGGCTGCAACTGCACTTTTTAAATGACAATATCCTGGCCAGACTACTGTTGTCAGTGATATAAGTATTTGAAATGTACATGATTTCTTAATGTCTAGTGACATTTCAGGGCCATTTTAATTGAAATAAATGTCTTACATACAGCTCCTTTAATGCTACAGATGGTTTCTTATTGTAAAGTGTTACCATTTCATATAAATCCAAACAGTCATGCTTGTTAACCTCTGGTTAAAGATGGCCATCTTTATATCTACACAAACACCATATAGCATTGAAATTAGACATATGTATAGTATACTCACACTTTATTTGCTTCTATTTAAAACACTTTATGATTATCTGATAAAAATAACAAAATATGTATTACAGTGACGATGAAAAAATAACTAAAATTGAATATGTTTCTTATTTGTGTCGGCTGAATGACAGTTTCTGTCTACAATTTGCCTTCTCATGTCACTAGCTTTATGCAACTTCGATGGAGAACGAATGCATTAAAGCGACCAGCTAGATATAGACAAATGCATATAGATGGTAACAATCGTGACATTAAACATTTGGGTCGGGCTTGTTTGTGTGTGTTTTTGTCACACAGTTTTAACCGCTTGAGGTAGACCTACTAGTGTTAGCGTCCTCTCAGCCTTGACGACAAACATACTGCAGTTGTCCACTAATGCAGCATCTAGTCAACAAATTAATTACTTTATAATGATATAATATGAAAACATGCACTGTAGTGTACTGTATACACACCATTTCATTGTCTGTTTTAAATCCGTATCTGAAGTGTCCTGCACTGTGCAGCGCGCAGACTCATTTGTCAAAGCAAACACCACGAGGCGTCAGTGATTGTTTTTATTTCGCCTCTAAAGTCCGCTCTTACTGTATAATGACAGCGGACTACAAAGTACCATTTTAAATGTCCCGTAGCGATTATTCATTGATAATGTTCACCCCTGCCAAAGTTAAGCATCAACATTTTTTAATCTAGACTGGGACACTGACTAAAGTCATGTGGACTACTTTTATGGCACTTATTGATGTTTTTTTCTGTCCTTTTTGGAACTTGACATTTTTGTCAACTATCAACTTTTTTTGGTGTTCCAATGAAAGAATTATGGCACATAAGAGTTGTGAATGACATGAAAAAATAATGGCAGAATATTTATTTTTAGTGAACTATTCCTTTAAATTTAAAACAGAGATACCTTTTAGCATGCTATACCTGATTTGGACTTGAGCATGATCCTCACAGTGTGACCGTCGTTAATGACTTCACAGTCCCTGCAAACGACATAGTTGGGGTTAAGCCCCACCTCCAGCAGCCGCGGGTCATAGCGGGCCTCCCTAGAGTTCAGGTTTATGGGGGACTGGTACTCTCCATTTGCCTCAGGAAACAGAAGACCCCATTCAACACCTGGATTCATTCACAAAAGACAAAAAAAGTTGATTCTATCGACCATTGAATGGTGATAACATTTTGTTTTAATGCATTTATCTAAGAACACTTGTCTCGTGTTGAGCCGATAACACTGTCCTTGTTCATGACCCACTAGACCCACTGCCTGTTGCTCAACCTCGAATGAAACGTTGTAGCTATGAAATATTTGGTGTTGCCACACAGATAATACAAACAGTGGTCCATTTGTATGTCCCAATGTTTAAACTAAATAAGGACAGCTAGAGCTCCAGTGCCTCAAAGTCATTACTGAGGGGCCAACAGGAATAGCAGACACAGGGGGATACAGGATGTGCTCATTCCTCTGCTGTTTTTCATATCATTCATGTATATGTATTAATCACTCCTCTCTTCTTTTACTCTTCACTAAGCATTTGCTTTATTATCTAAACTTGCACTAGATAAGTAAACGTGTTTCATTGCAGACTAACACTACTAGAGATAGTACAAATTGAAGCTTAGAAAAATGACTCTTCACACAAAAAAAAAAATCTTGGTCCAATACAATTTAAATAAAAGAAATTCCTCTGCTATTTTCACATAATAAACATTAATTATACAATTATGCTTTAAATATTTTTATTTATGCACTTATTTAATCAAAAAAATACATTTTAAGCTAAAAACATAGTGCGCTGATTTTCTGTAAAAAAAAAAGAAAAGAAAAGAAAGATCTGAATTGGTTGTAAATTAGAAGTGGCCACATGGAGCATTGTTGAAAAAGGGACAGATCACAACTATCTAGTATTGTCTGTGTATTTAAAGACTCAGCAGTGTAGAAACTGCATAAATTCACTATATATATATATATATATATATATATATATATATATATATATATATATATATATATATATATATATATATATATATATATATTCATAGGCTAATTGAGACGGGTTTGTTTATCATGGGTGTGACAATAAAGTTTCATGTTTCACAAAGAGGAGGATAAGCAGTGATTCTCGGATTGAGTCCTTACCTTCTTCATAGCCCCATTCCAGCTCATCCTTGCCAGGGTAGTTATCGGTCTCTTCAATAACATTATCTGCCATGGCAACTGAATTTCCTCTATGGCTTTCAGAACAATTTGCGTTCTGTCCTGAGCAGATGCCAAAAACTAGTTCTTTCTGGGCCGGTTTTCAGGGGAAAGTCTTCCTTGTCGGTTGCTCACTTCCCACCCATAAAACATGAAGAAAGTGGTCTATAACAATACAGATGGAAGTGATTGAACTCAGTAGCTTCAAAGACACAATGTCATCCACGGTGAGATTGCAACCAGAAAACAATTGTCATTCCATTGAAAATTATGAGTTTTCTTCTCCTGTTCTCTTCCAGAAAAGTTGTCCACCCTGTATCAACTTCAGAGCACAGCAAAAGTAAGTTCACACACTCATTCTGTTCTACTACAGCCCACACGGTTCCCCCACAAGTCATCTGATTAGCTGCGTGCAGTGACTCTTAAGCCTCTGATGTAGCACCATAGAAACCGCTCAGCAGTCTGTACTGGTTTACAGTCAGGCCACGGGAAGCACAGTGCACACAGGCAGGAATGCAGGAGTGATGTTGCTCTTGGACAGTTCCTCCCACAATGGAGGAAATGGGTGTGGTTAAAAAAAAACACCCACCAGGAGGAGGGTGAAGAATTAAAGACTGAAGAGAGGAAAGGTCTGTTATTGTTCTGCTTGGCACATTACTGATAGGGTTTTCAAGGTAAGGATGAGAGGGGTGAATATATTCCCCTGGCTGATGGTTGTGTTCTTCCAGCATGTTTTTTCCTGGTCACCAGCGAAACAAAATGACAGTTTTACCAACTTTAATAAGAAGTTTACAGGTGACCTTGTTTTTTGTCAGCACTGCAGTCAAATTGTATCACTCTCCTCAGTTCAACAATGCTTTGATATTTTATCAGCTGGACAAATGTATCTTATGCTATCATGAACAATTTGAACTAGATGGATGTATGAAAGTCTCCTGAATGCACTTATTGACCCAGATAAAAAAAAAAGTAACAACTGGAGGAGGTGAACATTATGGTGCATTGTCTTGAATTCTATCCTAGAAACTACTTTGACCCTAATTTTCTAAAATTAAAGGCAGCACATTACACAAAAGTGCAATCATACCTAATTAATTATAAGTAGGTCGTTTTACTCCCCAAAGCTCAGGGACAAGAACAGGGTTGTCACGTGACCTCAGCATCCTCTATCTATATTACATCTATATTTCACCGGATATATCAGGAAATCTGCATTCGCCGGCATCAAAACATAAGCACTTTATCAGTGTACCAGATGGTGTGGGTGGTTTGATGTTGGGCAATCATTTGAATACTTTGAATAATTATTCATGAACAATAGATGTCCTGTTTGAGTCCAGGTTCAGCAGATTACAGCACTGTCCTCTAGTGGGCATGACAAGACATGACAATATCCTCAGAGTATGAATGCAAGTGGATTGGTACAGAAAGCTATATGATTAAAGCAGTGTGCTCATTTTTGACTTGCCTTCAACCTCACTTATGGAACGAATGGGGGCAAATAAATCTACTCTAAAAAACAATGTCATCGTAATAAACAATGTCTAGGATATGTATGCAGGATGACCATCAGGCCTGGATCCTGCTCGGGTTGGGATTCTCAGGCTGGACACTTGGGAGGAGCTTTATGATTGTGAATACTGTATATAATTAAAGACAATAAATTAATATAAATAACATTTTATCAATATATCACTGCTGCAACAGGTCCAGTTGATTTCACAAATGAATTATTAAATGCAAATTGTCAACTGGTTTAATCAGTCAATTAAAAAAACGGCTCAAAAAATATTTGTTCTCAATCAGGCACTGATATTGGATCTCGGAGCAAAAATTTATTGAAAATACTTAGAATTGCAAAAATAACAATTGTTGACAGTAAGTGTTTAGTGGAATATAAGTTACACAATTCACCTTTAACATAAAACATTTCAGACAATGGGTTGATTCAATGTAAAAGTAAGTCAAAGGCACAGTATAGAAGTCTATAAAGAAATGTGCAGGGGAAGTCCATTGCAAGTCATTTACCTGAATAGTTCATCAGTATCTAAGGTCAGGCTCTTTCTCTCATCTCTGATATCTTAACCAATCTTCTTTAGGGTAAAACTCACGTGGTATATTCCTCTCATTAGCTCAATATGCATTACAAAATATTTATAAAAAATTTATTTAAATGGAGATTGGTAACTGAATTTGTAGACATAAGTGGGCTGCCCCTTCACCCGTGAAATGGTTTCGTGTCGTTCCAGGACCATCCAACTCTACACCACCACTGTGGCCCAAATAGCACCATTGGTACTGGAGTATGGTTAACCATGCACTTTGATGCTCGTGTCCATCTGAACAAGGACAACCATGCAAACTGTGTGCACAAGAAAGAAAACATTACTTCATTGCTGGATATGAGGATCGCTACACTACATCGCTACATCGCTACAAAAAGTAATGTTTATTATTTGCTTCTGTATACTAAAAGTATTTGTCTATGTAGGGCTGGGTATCGATTCAAATCTTCCAATTCGATTTCGATTCGCAAGCTCTCAATTCGATTTTGATTCTCGATTCGATTTCAATTCCCGATTCGATTCTTGATTAGACTCAATGAATATAGATTTAATACAAATCCTATATTTATAAAAAAAAGAACAGTGAACATAAGTTTACAAGTGGTTAATTAATAAAAAGAAATTAAGAGCCACAGAAACCTGTATATTAAACTCTTTATTTTAGGTATACACTTAAAACAGAACCCAACTCTATATTTTAAATGCATACAATGAACAGACAGGATTTTGATGCAAGATGAAAAATTTATGCTGAAAATTGGACAAGTCAGAACAGTCGCATGCCTTGATCAAACAGGATCAGGTTATTTTATGTTTAAGATTAAAACAAACATAAAATCTCACAGCATTAGCTGTAACATGGAGGCTGCAAAACTATGTCGAGTGTAGGAAAACTCATACTGGCTTTTGGGTGATTGATAAATAGATCAATCACCCAAACAACAATTCGTGGCCTTTGAGAATCGATTTTGAATCGACCACATTTTAAAAAACAATTAATCGAAAAATCTATTTTTTTTGCCCAGTCCTAATAATATGGATACACTTACGACAAAATAGAAATTTAGGGTTATGGTAAATGTGAAATATTAAGAAATAGTGTGAGTGATTCTAGAGATCACACCACAATATTTACGGTATACACACAAAAAACTGTTTATGTGTCCTTGAACTTTTCCTGAATATTCACTGTCAGAAAATTGTACCTTAGTGGTATCTTGCCACTAGGGTGGTAACGGTTAGGGTTAGGGGGTTTGACAACTTTGTGCCTTATCTACCCTCTAAAAGGTGCATATTAGTACCTTAGAAACCTTAAAGTCACAATGAAACAGGTTGGGACTGATATTTTCTTCTATATTGTGACGAACATCCTAGTGTAACGCAATAAAAAAAAGTAGGGAGGGAACTACATTGTTTGTTGATTGTATTTTGAGATGTGGGTGTTGCACTCAAAATGAACAGATGAACACAAACTTTTAGAGGCAGGTTTAAGCTGACTAAATGGGTGCTTCTTAGTTCACAGACTTTGTCCTAGCAGCCTAGAAATGCAGCCTTACGTCAACAAGCGCTGACAAAGGCCATCTCAATTTGAAGGATCCTTGGAAGTCTGCGTTTCATGTCCTTCATTCGGCTTATTTTGAAGGATGCATCGGGTGTATCCTTCTCACCGTGCGTTCACACCGCAAGTGACCGGAAGTCATTCATTTTCAATGTGAGCCTCCGGCGAGGGCGTCTTGGCGTCTTGGACGGCGAGAGCGGCGTGGAGAAGTTGAAGTCAGGTCAACTTTATGGTAATGAGCTCGGCGGCAACCAATCAGAATTTAGAAGTGCTCCGTTTGAGAGGATTCCAGCGAACGCAGTCCTGTAAACTTTGGTTCCGACCACATTAGTTCCCAAGCAAAGTAGAGGAGAGGCTGATCATTTGAATTTGATAAGAAGGCGCGCAGCACTATTTATAGGCAAGATTTTCACCCTAGAACACTTGTTTTTCAGCGGGAATGCAAATTAGATTAGCACTTAACCATGAACACAAAAGCCACACCACACAAATGGCTTTTAATTGGTTTATTTTGTTAGCAAACATGTCACTGTAATTGTTGTTCTTTCCATCGATCAATTTCTACTTTCACATTTAAAAGATTCTATGAGGTTAACTTATACCCTACTTGGTCATTCTGCAAAAACAACGATCGACATGCTTGTTTGCTTTGCGGCCCCTTTAAATAAAGTTCTAAAAAACACCAAGCATTCGATCTACGTCAGAGCGTCCACGAATCTTTCCACGGCGTCGTTGGCAGGGCGGCGAGAGCGAATATTGCCACTCTCACCGGGGCCGGTGTGAACACAAGGTCATCCTCCAGTCACCCACAATCCTTTGCACACATTCCAATTCACGATAAAGAATTAGCAAAAAATAAATAAAATCAGCACTGAGCCAATTTCATTATGTATATCAAGACAAAAAAATATATTTTGGAGATGGTGTTATGTTTTCTTTTGTTTTGTTGTAAATGAATCACTTAATGCCAAACTGTTCATGATGTGAACCACTTGGAGACCACAGATGGTTGTAATTCACTGTATTGCATTAATAGTAAATAAGTGAATTTAAAGATTTTTAATACAAAGTATTTAACCACAATTTTGATAGTATTTTTTGTGCCATGACTGCAGGGGCGGAAACCTTTATGTCATAGCAACACTTACTAGACGTCTCATTCTAAAGTGATATACCAAGTATGGTGTTCCAAACCCACCCATTGAAGTGCACATTCAAAGCTGTGAGTATTGAACACACACCGGAGCACTGGGCAGACATTTTTTGCTGCGGCACCCAGGGAGTGATTGGGGGTTAGGTGCCTTGCTCAAGGGCACCTCAGTTGTGGGTAATGAGAGTGGAAGAGAGCACGGTGCATTCAACCCCACTTACACTTCCTGCTGGTCCTGAGACTCGAACACGCGACCTTCAGTTTACAAGTCCGACTCTGCCCATTAGGCCACAACTGCCCCTGCCCCTGGTCTAGTCAAGTCAAGTCACATTTATTTATATAGTGCTTTTTACAATACAGAT